CTTTCCCTATCATTACAGCTTTGGTCACACTGCTAAAAGCTCAATTAGTTGTTCTTAAGTTTCATCAAGTCTCAAGACCAAATCGCAAATCTCCCTTTCTCTACCAGTCTCAATGCGCATAGCTGCAACTGAAAATGGCTGCTTGTATGCACAATCTCCTAAAGTTGAATTGAATTGGAACACAACTGAGTATAGGTAGATTATTTGGTAAAAGGGGTTACGATGGGTAAGGTAACATTTCAAATATCAGGTAAAAATGCAAAAAGGGTTGACTAAACTTAACTATCAAGAGACCCCAAGATCTGCAACACACATGATTTACTAAGAATCAAAAACCATAAAAACGTCTGCTATGGTTAACCAGTAATATTTATGTACGTATATAGCCATATAGGTTTTTCATCGGTCCATATATATATGAAAAATAACAACTTACTCTTTTAAACATATTCTTTGACTAAAATTTATTGAAATTACAAAATTGTGCTGGTCTTATTTAAAGTCTCACTTATAATTTTATAATTCTCAATAAATTTTAATGAATAATACAATAAGTTTAAAAATAATGTGTTGATTATTATGAAAACAATAAATTGAAATCATGTAATCATATATGAATAGTAAAAATTATAAGTGAATTGGTGTTCACATGACTATTTTAAAAAGTTATACATATTTTTCTTTTAATCTTAATCATCTAAGAATGATCGTATGATTGAATGGTAAGACTTACTCCCTGTGTATATAACCGACCACATAACATAGGAATCGATTTATTAGACTTTTAACAGGAAGTGAATTGAAATTTAGGGAAGAAATTATTCAGAATTTATTCCTATTAACACATCAATGATTAACTCTTTCGGTATGGGGTGTAATAATATGTTACGATATTTTTTATGCTATATATTTTACAATATATAAACGGACAAAATGTGCATGAAATTGAAAGAATCAGTTGATGAAGTGAACATAAGCTTCATGATGTGGAACAGTGTGGGGTGTAGAATAGAGAGAGATATCTACATTGCAAAAGTCAATTGCTTTCAGCCTTAGCAATGCCTTTCACTCTCTTTCTTACATTAGCTCCAGTTTTCCTGGATAGAAGTCGAAATTGCTTCTCATGCCTGGAGGCAAAAAGAATATAAATATGATAAAATACATATAATCTAAAAATATTTCCAGGGATAAAATGCATAATTGCTGGTACTAAATCAATGTGGTAGCAAATTCAAATGTCAAAATTGACAATACTAAGATGAAGATCTAACAGGTATGTGGCGACAATACTGGTATTAAAGCAAGGCTAAAGTAAGGCACTTAGCACTCAGAATTCACAATTGAGATTTTTTTCTCTTTATAATATACTTCATATGACATTTCCTTTAGGCTCCACATGTGCAGTCTCCAATTCAACTTAACTACTTGAATAAGCCTTCCCTTCACTGTAGGGAGAAAGAGCACTGTCATCATGGTCAGTGCAACTGCTTTCTGCATTGAATCTCAAAACAGAGAATGGTTGAATTGTATCCATGCTTCTTGGACAGTACTGGTTGAGATGATTCATATCCTTGTTCTCATTATCGGATTGGGAGACAGTAATGAATGCAGCTGCTGAAGAATCCTTTCATGACAGAAAAATAACACAGTACCATTAAAAGGTATTTTACTTTGGAAGAAGGGTATCTTATTGATGTTAATTTAACTTCTTACACCTTAGCTCAATCAAGTAACTACCTATGGATACATAATTACACCTTAGATCGACTGGAATTAACCTTAAACTACAAAATGTCATTTTTATTCTAAAGCTTACTATAAAGGCAAGAACAGGAAGTCTCCACACATGTCACCATATACTACACATTTATGGAACTAAACCATTGGATCATATATGGAAAGCGTAAAGTAGACAACCAATTCTTCTTTTATGGTATTTCAGTAAATTGCTACCGTTGATAGGAAGTGCAATTTTAGGCAAACTCAATATTTAATATAAAGTAATATTTCACCAGGCTTGCTGAATCTTGAATGTAACAATTTTTTAATATATGTTCGTAAATATATATTAAAGTATTGTTGAATCTTGATGGAGGCAGAAAAGGAGTGTAAGGCATTGCTAATGTAATAATATTTTAATACTCCCTCTCATTTTATTTAACATTCAAGCTTTTGCTACAATAATTAAGAATTGTAATTAATATTTTAAATTTTATAAAAATTAGTATGTAATTTCTTAATATATTCTTTATCTTTCTTATTAATTAGATTCTCTCTCCTTTATACTTCTTTTTTAATTTTCTCACTCCAAAATAAATAAATGATTAAGAAAATAATTGGGGGAAATTTTTTTTAGTTTCGATATAAAATAACATCAAAATGGGACAATTGTTTTTCCTTCCAGAACGTCAAACAAGATGGGACCAAGGATTAAAAAGAAGGCTTGATGAATTTTTAATGTAACATTTTACAGTTTCTATAGCACCTTTCTGACTCGATTTACGTGTTTGAATGCTTTCCAAAGAAATGTTTGGTATAGCCAATAACAAATTAACAATGAGTGACAAAAAGTCATTTACACCAATTTTATTCAAGTCTAAACTTGAATAGTTTCATATTTTCCTCTTTAAATGGAGCTAGTCATTCATATGCCACTGAAAGGAAATTAAACTGATGGAGTACACTTTTATGCACATAATGTTTATTATCATACTATTTTCATATTCTCCTCAAGTTGATATAAATAACATTGTGAATCTATGATACTCTTCCATTATCTTTATTGTCGGGTGTAGCCCTATAATTATCAGCGGACTAAGAGGAAGTGAAAATGTGTTAACCATAAAGGAAGAAATTCAGACCTCCATTGTATTTGGATTTTCAATATCTGACTTGTCAACTGACTTATCCTTCTCTAAAGAAGAGCAGGAGACATCTTGATCATCAAGCAGTATACTAACTGGATCTTGATCTACTCCAAATAGTTCTTCAAAGTTTTGGAAACTTAAGTCAACATCAGGTATGTTAAAATCATCTTGCCAAACGAGTTCTTCACATATCCCGAGGTCTTGAATATTTTGGGACCACAACTGCAAACATCGACAAAAAGAAATTTCCACTTTCATAAGAGGTATAAAGTTAACCAGGTGCTTGAGACCTAATAATAATATAATGTCAACCAAATTTAAATGAATCAGATGTTAATGCAGTCACCAACACAAAGCAAAATAAATGTCTGCTTACACTGCTAAATGTCAGACATTCAATTATTCATTTCTTGTCATTGACAGAGATTGGGAGGCAGGTACTAAGATTAATATACATCAGCACGCAAAGTTTTTTGTTTTTTGGTGGATCATCATGCAAAGTTTGAAATAGAAAATATCAAAACTTTATAATACTGATTTAATTTTAGTAACCCGGTCTAGAGCATGTCTGAATGATTTCCCATTTGTTCAACTTCAACCAATTTTTCCTTTTAAATAGGGTTGGCCTGGAAGCAACAAGTTGAAGCCTTTGCATTTGAGAATCTTCAGGTAGAAAAAGCCGTGTACGGATATTAATCTTATATCATAAAATTTATACCTTTTTTAGTAATTACACGTGTAAAAGTAACGTCCAAACAACAATACTTGGTCAAAATCACTATTGAAATAAAAGAATAAATCATGTTACCATAAACTCACTTTTAACCAAACTTAATTTTGCAAAGTCTAATCCAAACATGCACCTAGTATGTACTCCTGTTTTGTTTCTTGCATAATGTTGATATGCCTTTCATAAGTCTGATTTTTCTAGGCACCTAATCAGTTCTGTTTGATTAATATATAATATAATCAAGGAAAACGCTATTATAGACAGGTATAGAAAATATAACCGAGTTAAATATGATGCTTAGCTCATGCATAGCATCACAGCAAAGTGCAAATTAGGAGAACAAGTTTGCAGTTTCACAGTTTCGTATCTAGAAGAACACTGGTTAAAAGCAGTGATCAAAATATGGCCTCAACAGTGGACAGATAATTCTCTAACCTGATTACTTCGGAGTGGACTTTTGCATGTCCAAAACAACTCTCCATGCAAGGGAAGATCGACAATTGCAGAAGAAGATAAATTATCAAGTTGAGAAAACGTTGAAGGCAAAGTTTCAGGATTCAGCTGCGCAATGGAACACTCATTTTCCAGAACATTAGTAGCAAGATCCTGAGGATTTTGTGCTTGCTCGTTGAATTTTTCGTCCAATTTCTTAAGAGTGTGATATACTGAAGGAGATAATTTTTTTTCTTGTAGCCTATTGATCTTTGCAGAATAATCAATCCCCTCATTCAGTTGAAGCCATTTTAAATCAATAATCTGCTGCACAATAGTTTGTCGTTCTTGATCACTGTACAATATCTGCAAGAAGATGTATCACATCTTAAATAAATTTGGTAGAAGCTATTCCTATTGACTTTTGTCTTCTTTTTCCTTTTGCTAATTAATTAGACGTGTATATTCAAATTATATTATATTTTGTCTTGATTTATTGAATCAGGACTAGAAACAAAAATAAAAAATTTCTTAACTTGTGTTGTGGTAAAGACCATAACAGAGTATACTTTTTTTGATTCAGATAATAGAGTATGCTTGTTAATCCACGTGTTTGGTGGTAAAATTTTCACAATTTAACTATACTCTAAGGTAGGAGTGTGAAAAAAATTCAAACTGATCTTAACAGATCTATAATCAATCCGATCCATTTTGAGAAAAAATTGAACTAATTCATTTTGCAAAACTGGTTTAGTTACCCAAAATGGATTAGTTTGATTTAGTTCGATCTTAAAAAAAACGATTTATATATAAGTATAAAATAGATAACTACACTATACCAAACCTATCTAGTTTTAAAAAATCCAATCCATATTTTTAAAAAATTAAATCGATCCACTTTATAAAAAATCGAAGCGATCCACTCTATAAAAAAAAAAATCAGTTAACCAATCTGTTTTTATAAAATGAATCAATTTAGATTGGTTTATATTTTTCAAAAATCCAATCTATGAATACCTCTAGTCTAAGGAATATATTTGAAATTATACCTTGCTATAATTGTTGAAAATTCCTAAATTTAAGAATGCACTAAACAGTTGGATTTGCTCAAAATTAAGAAACATGTACTTTTCAGTTTTCTCTCATTTATCCAATAGTAAACCATCAAATCCATTCCTAAAATTATAGTTATCAGTTATTTTTAGTCCTTGAAATAATTAAAAGAAATTTTAATCCCTATGTTAACGATCCCTTAATTTCAATTTAGTTTGAAAGTCAGTCAATTTGGTTTCTGATTGTAGTGTGTGCATCAGTCAATTTAATTTCTCACTTTATTCTGTATTATCATCAGTCAATTTGGTTCCTAAAAAGCCGACAACCAAATTGATTGGTAGTTGTTAAATTAAAGGACTAACTTGACAGAGATGGTTAAATTCAGGCATTAAATTGATTAAGTTTATAATATTAAAGACCAAATGAACTGTCGGTGCCAATTTTATGGACAAAATCAATTCACAGTTGTTAAAATCAAGGATTAAATTTTCTTTATTATAATATTAGGGACTAGATTAACCTTTTTTTTTTTATTTTAGTTGTCAAATATCATTTCATTGCATCCATTCCAGAGGAATTGAAAGCAACAAAGTATACATCCTGTTCAACTCTTAACTCAATAACTCCTTTAATCTTCATTCCTCTCAAAGTATGGAAGTAAACTTGCACTAGTATCTTACGATCTTACTTCTGTATATTCATGTATGTGCTTTTAAACTATGCCTTTCACTGGTTCATATATTTTTAAATCAATCACTTAATAAGTATTAAGTAACATGTAGTTTATAACCAGTGCCTTTTATTAAAATGGAAAACTTGGTTGACATAAAAATAAACTTTATATCATGAGGGCATTAGCTATTGACTTAATTTTCAAATGACAGAATTCTAAAATTATACTCCCTCCGTTTTTTATTCATAATCATTTAAGATTTTGCACGAGACTTAAGGAAATGATTGATATTTTAGTTTTCAAAAATATTTATTACTTACTTTCCTATTCTACCCTCTATTTTTTTATAGTATTTCGTTAGAAACATATTGTCCTTTTAAATGCAACATTAATTTCACATAGGGGATTCAATAAAAAATAGGTAGACATTAGAAATAAATAGATGCATTATTCAGTAAACATACATTAATTATCAAGGGTAAATATGAAGAAAAAAAATTAATAAATCATTAATTTTAGTAAAATGATAATGAAAAAAAATAACAAATTCTGACAAAACAACTATGAATAAAAAACGGAGGATTACATCTCATCACAATAATAAACGAGGTATTAAAACTTCTATCTTGCATACCTGACCTTGTTGACCAGCGGATCCCCCATCAAGTTTGGCCCTAGATTTCATTGAAGGGACCCCAGTTTTTGTGGCAGGCTTTCCTGAGAATTGTGCCACATTCATATCGGCAGAAACACAAGAAACCGAATCAAACTGATCCTGACTGGAACAGTTTTCAATCTCATTCAATTCAAGGCCCCAAAGTGCTGCAAAGTCTTTAGCAGAAGGGCACCCCATGAAACTTCTGATAGCTCGTTTCTGATGTGGCAAAGAAACATTGTGCAACTTTTGATCGCAGTCTCTACAGATTAACATTTTGTGGTCCAAACACAGAACATAAGCAAGATGGTATCCGCATGAGTTACACACAAGGTTCCGGAGGTGCCGGCCAGACAATGCATTTGCCAAATGCACCTTCGCATCACAAGATAGGCAAAGATATGCTGCATCAGCCTTGCAGTAAACAAGTGGCCTCAAAGCTGTGCAGAATTCACAAACCTTCTCCATTTCTTCAGTCTTCAATTCCAAGTATCCAAAAAGCTCTAAATTTATCAAACCTCATACTGTATAGGCAACAATTTAAATAAAGAAGAATCCAGATATCAGTTCAGCTGGTCTATACAAGGTTGCAGAAATCTTTTCCGGAAAAGGTAATCGCATCTTATATCAGTTGTTGTCCTGTGTAGTAGGTTTAGAAGCTGTGAAGAAATGGGACAACAGCTTTACATCAAATGCAGTTGCATACACCTGTGGAAGCATAAGAATACTATTAAGAATGTTTTAAACAGTCCATTGAGAAATTTTTTTGAAAAAAAGAGTTTAATTTCTATGCTTTTACACCTTCAACCAATCAAAATTACATGATAGATACTATCATACTATTTTTAAGGTAATTATTATAAAAGTTAATAAACATTATATATATAATAATAATAATAATAATAATAATAATAATAATTTGTTATCGGATGAAATCGTAAAGAATAACCTTCCTATAAATCCTCCTGCTGCCTTACAGTACAAAAAGTATTAAAATGAATAAATAATGCGTTTAATGTCTTAAAAAATATAAGATGTTGGAAGAAGATTTAAAATTATTACCAGGTAAAACCTCTTTCACTGTTAATGCACAAATGTTGATCGGAAAAAAGTGATTGAAATGTTGATCTCTATCCTGTAGCTCCAAATTTATTGGAAATCACAAAGGAACTATTTTAAAACTCCTAAATTTGACACATGGCTAATAACTCCAGAATTTGTAATATAAAGTATAATACGAACATGTTATCACTCATCATAAAAAAAAAAACCAAGATTGGAAATTCAGTAAGTGACCTCCCAAAAGACAATAAAGTTGAACGGAAGATAAGAAAAAGAGAAGCAAACAAAAAAAGATTTGAATTGAATGTATAAAAAAGGGGAAGAAGAAACCAAAAGAGTAGAAAGCAGTGGATGCAACAAGCGGAGAGAAGGAAGCACAAGGGACTAGGGTTGACTTTAGAGAAGGACTTGAAAACTGAAAAAAGGAGTGAGTTAGCTGCGCCTGCGAGTGTTTCCCAATAAAAGCAAAGCAGACAGCAGAGGACGTTTTGGGTTGTGAAGAAGCATGAGTCATGCGTTATAGCAGGCTAAGGCTTTACCCAACTGGGGTGGTGACGTGTGCAGCAGAACTTTCCAGCATGGACAAGGGATGTGGGGTCCACCAAGGACGTTATCCAATGTATAGTGCTGCGCATGTGAATGTGGTGGTTACGTAATCCGAAAGTTTAGCCTCGTTGGGCCAATCGCAACGCACAATGGGATGGGCGGAGAAACTAGCCCGGGCCCACTCACGAGTCCATTTACGTTTACATCAACAACCAACACTTTTCATTTTTCTTTCATATTTTTCTATTATTACATTAATTTGGATGTATTTCTTTTACTGTATTAAAATCGAGGAAAGTGGCTGAACCTCATTATTTGACACTCAATCATAATAGTGGAAATGGAAATCAGAATGGAAAATAAAAAAGCAGTGAATACAATAAATGTTGTTTAGACATGAAAAGGCAGTGATGGAAATCTTGAACTATGATTTCCGATAACGTAATTAAACCCCATTGTACTGCATTGAATGATACCATCACGATTCAAAGTTTTATCACCGTCTATCAGAAGAATTACGCATACATCAATTGCAACTTGCAAGCAAATTTTTAATATTCTTAAAAGAATTTAATTACAATATAAATATTTTACAACATATTTCTATTATCATGTTCTTTATTATAAGACATAATTTAAAAGAAAATTATAGTTCTGTCTTATAATAAGAATTGGAGAAACTATCTTACTTTCTTTCTGTTGTATGTATGTATTAGTTGTGATTTATATTTTCAAGATATTAAATATATTTAATTTTAATTCAATGTTTTCTATATAAGATAATAAGAAAAATTATAAGAGAATAGGTAAGATATATAGAATATTTTCAAATTTGTCAATAATATATAAATTACTTTTTAATAGTGCATTAAAATTAATTTTTTTACAACGAATAAATATATCAATACAAATAAATCATAAAATTGAATTAGATAGAAATTAAATATATATATATATTGACTAGTCCAAAAAGCTCACAACTTGCATAAAGTTATATTAAAGAGTGTTTCTACATGGTAGAATCCCCTCTAGGAATATAAAGTTTTCATGAGGTTTATCTTGAGTCATCATTCATGCATGAATACTTTCGTTTAATAGAATATTTTTATGTAGAATGTTTCAAATTCAAGAACATGCGCTACGTGGATTTCTTGAGAAACAAACTTTCTTGAACAACGTGGAAAGTTTCAAAGAGTTGATATTCAAGGTGCTACAAAGCTGGGAGTCTAGTGAGTAGTGAGGCCACATAGTTTGCAATGTTGCTATGGAATATGTGGAACAGTAGAAATGGAAAAGTTCGGGAAGGTTCTCCCTAGAGTAATTCGGCGATAATATTGAGAGCAAAAGAGCAACTGGCCACTGGGAGATTGGATCCAAGCCCAACAAAAAGTAACACCGAACAAAGATGAAAATGTACCCAAACAAACTCATTGGCTTCCACCTGCAACTGGCTACGCAAAAATGTGATGTTGATGCAGCTTTATTCTCAGACTCGGGAGATAGTGGCTATGGGATGTGCTTACGTGATTATTGGGGTACATTCATCCAAGCAAATCCACATGAGAGTGAAGCTTTGGCATTGCTTGAGGCCCTTCACTGGATACACTCAATGGGCCTTCAAAACTTTTACTTTGAATCAGATTGCCAAACGGTAATCCATGCTATGAAGAATGAGACACGTGACTGCTCTAAATTTGGTTGAGTTGCAGAAACTATCCTTCAACTACCCAATTCAATTTCTTTATCATATTTTATTTATTAACTAAAATTTAATATTTTAAAATAAATTATCAATAATTAAAAATCATTTTATGTTACAATATAAATTATCTTACATCAAAAATATAATTTGTTTTAAAATATATATTTGTACAAAATTTCCATATAATTTACATATTCAAACATTAAATTTTTTATGATTTATTATAAAATTTAGTTGTATATAATAAATATTTTTCGTGTGAAAGGTACAAACTAAAATTCTACTTTTAAATAAATATAAATCATTTGATATTTTCTATTTTCAATATATTTTTTGTAAAATAATTCCCCCATTTAAAATTTAATTATTACTATTACGAAAAGGCGAAAATATTGTAATTTCAAGTCTCTGGGAGATATACTCAATATGAATTTTATACTATATCGAAATTCTTCGTTTTCAAACCATAATCGGATTCATATTGTTAGCATATATATTAGTATTTAATTGTATATATTAGAATTAGAATTATTAATATTATATTATTTGAAATTTCTTTATGTTTTTAAACAAGAATCGAATTAACAATGTTAGAAAAAATAATTAAATGCCAAAAAACCTAAATTTGTGCATGAATACATGTGTTGAGCTTCTAAGTCCATAAAATGACATGTACCACAGTGTAAACAGTTATCTCTATATGTCATTGCAAAAAATCATTATGCACGTCTATCTAACTTCGGCATCCTTATCAACAATAATTAATTATAGTAATTTGAACAATTAACCAATACACCAAAGAAGCATCTACCAAAAGGCTGTTACTAGACGATGCTGTCAAAATGTGTGCTATACAATTAAGCTCAATATTGCGAATACATTGAGAACTAGAATTGTTTTTGACTTTCTTCTTTTACTAAAGATACTAAAAGCAAAAGGCAAAAAACTTTCTTGGGTAATGCAAATCCCAAACGTAGACCAAAAATGTCAGTTTGAGCTCCGAACCAGAAAGGTATAGATTATGTTCTATATTTCCAGCAACGCGGCATTAGTTTTGAATCAACCGAAAGGCTACTGGAGTGGAGCAGTAGACAAATGATACTTTACTGCAGAAACAAGTCAATGACAAAAAATGAGCAAATATGCGGGTGACCATCCCACCCCACCACCCCCAAAATAAAGAGAGAAAAAAATGTCCACAAGTCCAACACCAATCAAATAACGAACATTTTTTCGATAATTTATTTATGCTTCCCTCGTACACAAAGTAATTTATCTTCCAGCAACAGTAGAAGTCATATTTCCTAAGGCAAATGTTAGAAAGCATCCCCCCATAACTTGTACAAGGAAAGCCCAGAAAATAACAAGAAGTTAATTATCCCTTAATCTATCTTTGTCTAGAAAAATAGGAATAACTTATTTATCCTTTCATTTTTATCCTCTTTTATTTATTTATCCTTATCCTTGGGAAAATCTGGGAAGGGAACCACCATGTCTACAGAGCAACTCCATTGTACTTGTCATGATTTTTTGATAACATTGGATATATATCAGCTAAGAACAAAGATATCAATATTTCTCATCATAAGGGATATTTACCGCAACCTAAATACGAACATATTATACTTCAAACAACCTCATTGCACTTGATCATTGTTGACAAAATTGAAAGCATTCTCTCTTGGGGAACCAGAACATTATACATAACTCATCACGAACCCACTTTTATTTCTATGGCATTCACTGTCAATGAAAGGTCCTTGCTTTTGTTTTTTTTTATATTTTAATTACCCTCCCCCATGTCATTTTATTTAGATGAATCAAAATCCATCATAATGACAGATGTGAAGTTAAGTCAAGTCACAATTACATTACCACTATTTATGATATCTTGTACTGGACCACTACAAGATATCCTAAATTTCTCAGAAGCAGGAAGATAGAATATTCCTCACCTAGATCAACTTGATTTCACGTGAACTTCAATAATATCCTCGTCCTCCATCCCAAGGCTAGCAGGGGTTTCAGACGAACTTATTTTATCACCATCAAAGGACAATACTATCTGTTTCAGGTCACACTTGATTTTCTCTGCATATGTTTTGACAATCCTTTCGAATTTGTCATCCTAGAGAAAATTAAAAAACGTATCAGATATCAAGTGAAAAATTGTATTTATTTCGGAAATATGTTCAAAGACCTATAAAAGAAATACAGCTTTAAAAAAAATAACCAGTAACACAACTCTTATATTCCAACATATTACAAGTAGATGTTACCTGAATAATAATGTTAACATCACAAAATATAACAGTACATTGACAACGTTAAGTACATCTGCTGAAGGAATTATATACCATGAACATCCGAATCTGCTTTGTTCCAGCCTTGTCTTGAACAGAAATGAGAATTTTTGCTCTTTCAGAATGCTCAGAACTTTTCTCCTTTACAACATCCACAGAAGACTGCAATGAATCACTAATTTCAACTTTTGAAGACTCTTCAACATCTTTTAACAAATTTTTCGCTGATTCAGCAAATGAAGCAATTTCTTGCTTCTTTAATCTACGCACATAAATAACACCCCATTAGAAACTGTAGAAAACAGGTGCTAGGAGCTGGGGAGTAATTATATGATAAAGTAAAACTATTTTCTTTACCCAATGCATACTTTTTCTATTAGAGCACCAAGCACATATATCAATATTCCAACATCCTACGTAATGTTGACATGTGGAGCAAGTCTAGCTCCAGATGAAACCAGAGATGCTTAACTTTTATAATTTTGTCATATCTAAAATGTTTTCTTTTGTTGCTTTCGTTCTTGACAAAAAGGAGAAGTGTAGAGAAAGAAAAAGAAAAAATAGTGCAAGGAAATCCATTTTAATGATTTTATCATTGCATTTTGTGATTACGGCTAAGTTAGCTATGTATTTTTTCAAGAAAAAAAGACAAAGGCTAGCACTTAAAATATATACAGTATATAGATGTATGCAATATTCTTATCCTACAATATCACTGTTGTAGCAATCGTTCCCAGCTTAGAACAATCATAATCATGATATAAATTTAAGGTTAAAAAAAAAACAAAAAAAACAAAGCAATAGCAAGCAGCTAGGATTTGGCATTTGAAAAATTCTACAAAGAGTGAAATGTTCACAACCTCAATTTTTTCAAAGTTGAATCATCTTCAATGTTCCTCTCTGCATTACATGAGATTTTTGGTGGGGGAGGTAACCAGTCATCATCCTTGTCCTCAATGTCCACCACAGGTACTGCTTTCCCACGAGTCTTCTCATTTCCAACCTAAACCCCGCAGCAGTTTCAATAGTTATAAAAACCATTAGTAATAATCAATAAATAAAAATCAGAGCCAAAATAATCATTACAGGCTGAGAAGTCTTCCTCTTAGTGCCAACGCAAATCACATCCTCGTCATCATCACAATCATCTGCAATCAGAAAGTCAAATTCAAATACTGGTTAAAACCCCATCCCGTAAAATTGCACCTACGGATGAGGTGATGATAAAAAGAGTTAGAAATTTAGGGTTTGAAATTGTGGAATGTTGGATATGAAAAGAAACGAACCATCGAGGCAGATGGGGTTCAGAGGTTGAACCCGGGTGTAATCAAACAACGGTTCCAACTCTTCGGTATCGTCCTGCATAAGAAAAGAAGAAATTGAGATTGCAGTTCCGAGAGAAACCCTAATTTGAATTTGAGTAAGGGAGCGTCACCGTCATCGTCGACCTCTGTCGCTGGGTGTCTTCGGATGTTGGCACTTGGTATTCTTTCTATTTCACCCAATAGAATCCTCTACGGAACTGAATACGGTGCGCTGCTAGATCCTGTGGTCAGTGGTTTTTACAAATTTGTTTTCTTGTACGATAAGAATTTTAAAGGTGGAGGATTGTTAGCAGTGTTGTGGAATCTGTAGACGATCCCGTCCCCGGTTTCACTGTCCCGCTCCAAACTTTAAAATTTAAACACATTTATTATTTTCAAACACGTTTGATTGTGGACTGGCCTCTATTAGTATTAATTGTGTTTGTAATTTATTTGAAATAACTAGTAACTAAACCTTCTCCGATGTTTTCTTTTTGTGATTATTTGTAAAATAAACTTTGTTTAAATAATTTTAAATTTCAGACATGACATAATATAAATTTGTTAGTATATTATATATATATATATATATATATATATATATATATTAAAAATCCCAAAATTTAATGTGTAAAAAAGGTTAAAAATGTGATTTTACTAAATTAAGTAATATGTGACAAATAACTTTTGAAATGAAAATACCATGATTTTAATATAGTGTGAAAGAGAAATTTATTCCCATAACATGTTCTTAAAACAATATTCACATAAGTATCTTTTCTTTTGTTACTTTCTTGTATATAACTATTTTATAGCTAAGAATTACTTTTCTTTTTTTATCTTGGTGACTTTATTTTCTTGCAACTCAATTATTTTTAGTGAATATAATTTTTAAATCTCATAATTATTTTGGTAACCTTTTTGTAACTGATATGTTGCAATTTTTTATCTTTAAAAGTTAGATAAAATACACCAAATAAAATGAAAAATGAAATAGTACAGAAATTGAAGATAAAAAAAAAAGTTAAATACTATTTTATTTGAACTTAATATCTATTTTATTATTTTTTAAAATATTTTAAACTTTAAATATAAAGTGCATCATTTAAATAGTTTTTAGTTTAGTTGTTTTGTTTTCTTATAACTAAATTATTTTCTAGTGAAAAGAGTTTACAAATTTCATAATTATTCTTATGATTTTCTTTATCTAACTATCTAAAAAATTTAATTATAATTTTGTAGATAAATTTAATAAAATTAAAAATATCTCATATGTTAAAGTTTAAGGTTTAGGATTTATGATTTTAGGGATATAGGATTTAAAGTTTAGTCTTTAGTGTTTAGTTTAATGACTTAATTTTCTTATAGTAAAATCATTTTTTAATGAAAAAGGTTTACAAATCTTTTAAATTTTAAGAGGTTCCTGTGGTTTCGACAATTGATAGTGGAATCACACTCAGGTTGCGAGCTGATGTTGAGACCACTATCAAAGAACTTGACTAGTTAATGCTATCTTAACTTTCGCTACCTCTGATGTTCCTTTTGCTCTCAAATATTTTTCAGTGTACAAAATCCACCAATAAGCATCATATGTTTCATCAAACAATGAAATCTCCATTTTTTGACCCAATTTAGTAGAAAACAGATCGATAATGAAATAATTAATGAGTAATAAAATATTACTATATCACTATTCCTATTCCTACCATTAAAGAGCTAAAAAAAATTATAAAAAGATAAAAATAAATTGAAATATTTTCATTCCTCTTCAAAAATTATGAAATACTTTATTTATAACTCAATAACCACAAAGATAATGTCACAAATATCGTTATTTACTATTTAAAAAATTAAAAATATAAATTATACAATATTAAAATATCATCCTATTAATTCACTTGATTTAGTTTCCTTCTTTTAGGTTTTCTATGACCATCCTATCATACACATGTCTCATAAACCATTTTTTTTTTTAATTCAAACAATTGTCATATTATAAAAGAAGAATTTGCTTACCTCTACTCTACGTCGAACTCCTTTAGGTATTTTTTTTTCTAATTACGCGAGTCATACATGCAAACTAGCTTTAATAGGAAGAATATCTACTTTATATAATAAAACCTTTTCTTTTACGTCTATAAATTTATCTTTCTTTTTTTTTTTTAAATTGTAATTCCTTTAAAATTCTGAATTCTGAATTCTGAATTCTGAATTCTGATCCACCTATAGACGCTAAAGATACTCTTTTAAAATAAAGCTATCACATGAAACTAGTATCCTTAATTGCATATTGACAGACTTCAAGTCTTCAACACATTTTGATCGCATATTCTAACAACGGGGACAGATGTTTCATTTTATCACAGAAAATCCGCGCAACAATTCTAAAGTTAATGAGTTAAATTTAAATTGTTTGAATTTTTAAATAAAACCGAATTTCTTCATAAATTTTGAACAGGCTTATAATTTATTGATTTTTTTTTTTCAAAGACATTAACCTTTCAACAAAATTAATAATTTTTTTCTTTTTCTTTTTTTATTCATAAACAGAGTTTACTCCGTGTTTTAAATTGACAATTAAGATAATATGATATTGAATTAAGTAGATGTGCATAGTACAATTTAAAATAAAAGTTTCATTTATTCTTCAAACTATTTAGTGTCACGATATTGGTATTACAAACCAAAGTGATGTTGTGTAATTGATAAATAATTTATGTTCTTTAAGTGAGTAGTTAGAAATTCGATCTTAAAAATTTATTGAAAGAAGATAGTTTTTAAAATAATTCTTCGTACCTTTGAATTAGTCTCTTTCTTAGTTAGAAGTTGCCTAAAAAAAATTGGTAATCAAAGCTATCCATTCTATGTAGACAAATGTGAATGGTGCATTCTATTTTTCGTAACGTCTGAGTAATTATCATTAATTTCTTTAAGTTGATAAAGTTTCCTGTGGACGGGCTTTAGTATTTATTTCACAATGGTCAGCATGTTTCAAATTGACTTTTTGTTTGTTTGCTATATCATAATTATTTTTTACTTGTTCCGACTAATAACATAAGACGGTGAGTAATGAACTATCTCTCACAAGAACCTGAGTTTAATTTTCATATTAATAAATAATTTATAAATATATTTATAAGCGTTATTATTTCAAAATCCAATTCACTTAAACTTTTTATCAGATAAAAACATAAATAACAAAATTCTCTTTGTAAAAAATAACTTCATAATAATCACTTTAGGAGACATGGTTAGAGTATCTTGTATTTGGTTTACAACGTCAAATTTAAACTTTATCCAGTCACATTAATTATAACAAAGTTAATGATGCTACCTTAACAAAATGTTGAGGTTGCCACTGGTCAAAAAACCACTCAGTACTATTCAATCCCTTTTCCTAAAGCACAATCTGTTTCTTTCTCTTCGGTCTAACCTATTAATATTTTCTTTGCTCATTCTATTCAGCTCCTCAGGCATTTATCCTTATAATGGAAGATGAGTCAATATCAGTGAACAATTTTGTTCCTAGCTTTGCACGAGGCTTTAACCTTCTCCTAGTACATGATGACACAATGTCTCTTGTGTACCTCTCATCACTGCTTAAGCTATATTCGTTCAAAGGTTTACTTTTATAGAATTTTAATTCCCTTTATTACATTCGCTGCCCTGGTTTGTATCATTTCATATACCCTTTTATCTGTTTTAGTCCTACATTGAATCTCTTTGGTGCTTTCAATCATTCATGTGTGCGTCAACTATCACTAGACTAACAAAATTAAACGAACGGGAAAGATTAAGATACAAAAGATCTAGCCTTTAAGATCCAAAGAGTAAAGCTAACCACGAAAGGAAAAATTGAACCAATTTCAATAAATTTAGAAATGGGTTTGAAATGATCTGATAGTAGACACACGGGATGCCTGAACCTAGGTTTACTTAATAGGAAGTCCAATTTGGTTATTTGTATCATTAAAAATTAACACTATTTGATATTGTCTCTCATTTTTGTAAGTTTTCATGTACATGCATCTTAAACATATACCTTAAAAATCAAAAGCACATTTTTTTTGTTTTTCAATTCTTAGGTACAAATAACATTTTCCTAGTAAGTCCTTAAATTTTACATTTGTGGCCGTCACCTGCGAAATTTGATTGATGATTGATGATGATGTTAAACCCATCACTGTTAAACCATTAATGATTTACTACCGGATCTATATGCCTTGGTAGCTTACGTGTATAATTGTGTTTTCTGAAATCTTTGCTTTGAATTCTGCTTCTGATATATAATTTCTTTTAATTCATAGTATCTTTTCAATTTGGATGTTTCAAGATATTTGCATTTTCCTTATCTGTTTATTCATTTAAAAGCTCAACAACAAATCAACAAACAACCTTTCTCCAATTGGTTTTGTATGACTTGATAGTGCATCTTGAGAAATTTGTCACTCTTCAATGGACAATTAGAACATTCTATAATAGGTAGCTAATCTGCAACAGTTTATGGCAATAGAATTAAAAATGAAGATGTGGTGTTATTCCCATTGCTTGATTAATGTGAACAATAAATAACAATATAATTTGTTTGGTTATTCAGTAACTGCTACGACTGACACATCAGCAGCTGCATCCATGATTTTCCATCATGAATGCAGGTTCAAACTGATCATGGCTAAAGCTAAAATGCCAGGCATGGATGCCCTTTCTTTTCTTGATATAGTGCTTGAAAAAGACATTCCTGTTATCTGTAAGTTCCATTTCAGATCTTTCAATTTACTAAAATACTATGGTCAGTGAAAAATTGGGATATATATAAAGGATCTTAGATTTGAATCTTATTGTTTTCATTGTAATTCTTATAAATAAATAAAAAATCTTTCAATTCACTTAATTTCCTCCAATATTTTAGTCTCATTTAATTAATGTAGTAATACATCGTTTTATATAATGTACAGTTATTTACTCCGGAGGATTTGATGATGTAACTCAGAAAGCTTTAGCTACAGGACTATGTTATTTCCTTAAGGAACCAATCTGTGCAAATGATCTCAAATATTTATGGCAACATGTGTATCACTCAAGAGCCCATTCAGCCAAAAAAATCCAAAATGCGTACTTTCAGAACACGAAGTACCATGCAAAGGGATTAGAGAATATGAAGATGAAACAGGTAAATAGTTATAGAATTTTGTCAATAAATCTACATAAGTACAGTACATATCACATACCAAATTCAGTGTACGACGTACCAGGTTATGGCATGTGTAAGTTTTGTAATAATAATGTAAAACTCGATAACTTGCATGATTGAGAAGAATCTATCATGGAATTTAAGACTTCAGAGTACTTGCTTTTTAAGCAGTTGACAACTACACAATGACAGGTTCTTAGAGGAAATGGAGAAAGAAACAAAGATGGTAATGAGGACATGGCCAAAAAGAAGAAAATAGTTGATGAAAACACAGAGCATGGTTCATTGAGATCAACCCAGATGGAGTTCAACAACAGTTATTATAGCAGTGAGGAAAAGCGTGCAATTGTTTGGACTCCTGAGCTGCATCTAAAGTTTACAGAAGCCATACATATGTTAGGAGGAGAGAACAGTAGGGTTAATTTTATGTTCTTGAATTCATCCTCCTTTTATGTCTTTTTCTTGATTAGGTATCATTTATGGATTTAAGCTCCATTCTTGATAAGGTAACTAGAGATGACTAATTCAATGTTTTTATACTAGGGGCTCGTCCAAAACAGATATTGAGTCACATGAATGAGCCTCTCCTGACAGTTCGCCAGGTTGCAAGTCACCTGCAGGTTATTTTCTGTTGCTTCAACTTAGATACAATCATGACGCCATAATTTTTGTTTTACAAATTTATAATTTTTTATGCTTCAGCCTTGACTCATAGATTTTTTTTTAATATTAAACTGTTTGTTTTAATTATTACACTAATTAACACAAAGAAAATATTGGGTTTACTTTGGGATTTGTCTACATAAATTTATCACCAAGCTCTTAAAGAAAAATAAATAAAATTAACTTTTCAATAAACTAAAATTATCTTTTATATAAATTAAAGTGAGGGAGTTTCTAGAAATTAATTTGCATATAATTTAAACTTTTGAATAAATCAATTTTTTTTCTATAAGTGTTTACAAAGAAATTTATCCAAACAAACATATAATATGTTATTTTGACTTTATTTTAAACTTATTAGGAAATGTTTTAAGATATAAAAAAATATAACAATTGAAACTTAAAAATATAATTAAATAATTCGTCTATAAATAAAAATTATAAGATTTTAAAAAAAATTAAAAAAAATAAAATTATGATACCTATATAGATTTCAGGTGTTTTTGACAAGCATAGCCTAATATTAATATGTATACATAAGATTAGGAGGGCATTCATGATTGTTATTTGAATGGGAAAGGCCAGCGTGCATTATTTTCCCTTTCCCGTTTGCTTCATTGTTTAGCCTTTCTTCCTACACAGAAACACCAGTTGCGGTTAAAGCGTAAAGAGAATGCCCGCAATTCTGATTTGCCTCTGGTAAGCACGTCATCATCCTTAAGCCGCAAAGCCAAGTTTTTCTCACCATCTCAAGTGACCAACTTCGGAACAAAAGGTAGTGCTAAAAGATAAACTCCCCTTGCATTTCACTATTCTTAGATTGCAAACCATCATTTTTGTTTGTCACCCATTCGTAACTTTAGACCATAATTTTGATCTAGGTCTCCCACCACCAAAGGTATCCTTGAATGAGAGCCACAGTCAAAACCAAAAGTTTCTAGTGAACAACGCTGCAACTGAAAACAACGTTTGTCTAAGCCAACGTCTAGATTCTACGGTAGCACACCCTGTGCTAGCTGCTTCAGTGGATCAAAACCACCCTGAAACTGAGTACCACGATTTCATTAAAAAGTTTGTGGAAAACTGTGACAATTTTGATTTGTCTAAAAATGAAATTAATCCTGGTGATGTTGATCGATACTGTGAGATGCTAAGAGCAATTCTAGATGGCAACAACTCCACTCCTTGGGAATTTGATATGGACAACACCAACATAAGGTTTGTCCCTTTATCATGTCACAATTCAACTAATGTAAGACCTATGCTGTGTTACACTTCAGATATGTAAGATATACAATTTTTCTATTGGATTTTTGCAGGATTGACTGAACCTTCAAATGGAAGCGTATTCGGAGCAAATGAAAACCTTTCTCTTATGTAGCAATTCGCTTCCAGGAAAAGACATTATAATTCCTATATGATATGTAGAGAGGTTTCTTTCAAGATATTGGAAGATGATAGATACAGTGTCTATCGTTTTCTTTCATGTGAGAAAGCATTAAGACATATATAATCTTATGTAAATACACTATACTGCGTAAATATATACTTAGAGACATGCTTTTGTAAATATTTTATTAAAAATGCTATGTACTTCTTTTTAGCAAACAATATTATGCAAGGTTTGATTGTGAAATTATTTTATGTAAACATGGAATATAATTAACTATTATTTGTAAATGCAATACAGTCAATGAACAATTTTGAGTACTAAATAAACGAATGTATTTCATTCTAATATAACAAATGCCATTTCACTAGATTCTCTAATTATCCAGTAAGAAACTAGAAGAATAAGCAAACATCCAACAGCAACAGAAGTGTAATTTAGTGTCTCTTCGGTTATTGGGTACGATACAGGCAACGAGAAGAGTATGGAGATGGTTAGGACCCAAAGGACAGCAACCCAGCCCGTAATCACTCCATAACGGCCCAAGTTGAAAGGCCCAGGAACAAAATGATTCCGTGGCAATGTCAGGTTAAAGAATATAGGTAAGGCATAAGCAATGTAGAGAGCAATGGTTGCTATGGACACCATTGCCTCGAATGCCACTATGCTTAGCACATGGTGCATTTGACGGAGCCTTCATATACGAAATTCATTTCTTGAGTAAATTGCGAAGCACATGGCAACATGTTCACTTGCCAAGCAAAACTGCACTATGCAGCTACCTTTCCAAATTACAAACTTTCCTCGTTCCCTCGTGGTTTCTAGTGCCAGCTACCTTTCTTTTTCTTGAAAAATAAATTAGGAAGAAAATAAAATAGAGGTAAATGTGATAGATGAAACAAATAATATGATTAAAAAAATGAGATATAAGGAAAAAAAATGAAGTACATATTACTTATTTTTAACTCATGCTTAGAAAATTTGTATATGTCCATCCCATATTATGATAGATGTAAGGATGGAGGGAAAAAGATATATAATTATAAAAACTTAGAGAAAGAAAATAATAAATTATATAAAAAAATATATGATGAGGTTAACCTTGATAACCAAACAATAAAATTAGATTAATATAAAATAATATGAAAATAATATATTTTTAATCCTTTTAAATTTAGGATAAATTTAGTTTTTAAATTCTCAAATTTAAAACTATAATTTTTTTTATTATAATTTTTCAAAATCTTGTTTTAATCTCTCGATCACTAATAACATATTAGAAAGTAATAAATTGAGATAATTATACACCATTAACAAGATTTAATGTGATATAAATTTTATACGAAAGTATTTACCAGATTTTTTAATAAAATTTAAATATAAATACTAAAATAAATTTTTTTGAAATTATAAAACTAAGAAAATTAATTTTAAATTTGAAATATTAAAAATAAATTTATGAAAAAAAATATTTAAATCAAATATTAAGAGTAGTCGAACTGAATCGGTAATTAAACCGGTAAAAATATCCATTCACAGTTTATTAATTGAATCATGAAGTCAAACCATCGTCAATAAAAAAATAAAAAAATAAAAAAATAAAAAGGTCGAGTTTTTCTGTCTTGGCCGTCATCAATCAATTTTTAATCAAGCTAAAAGTATGAGTTTTTTTATGGGTTGATGAATTGGCTTCTTTGAGCCCAACCCACCAAAAACAGCAGCTTAAATAGACTTATAGGCTAACTCAACAAGTCTAAGCCATTTTGTCACCCATACTATTCAATTCCCGTAATAGTCATTCTTGAAACCAAAAGAGTAATTAAGTTTATTTTTTATTTTCTAAATACATTGAAAGATAGATAAATTCCACACAAATAATGATATTGAGATGGAGTTGGATTCGCTAAACACGTACACAACTTGGATTTTTATATATTGGTTATAGGGCCTTTAAACCAACGGCGACCACAGATTATCCAGTAAGAAACTACAAGAATAAACAAACATCCAACGGCAACAGGAGTATAGTTAAGATTCTCTATGGTTATTGGGTACGACACAGGCAACGAGAAGAGGATTGAGATGGTTAGCACCCAAAGAACAGCAACCCAGCCCACAATCACTCCGTAACGGCCCAAGTTGAAAGGCCCAGGAACAAAATGCCTCCGTGCCAATGTCACCCTAAAGAAAATAGGTAAGGCATAAGCAATGTAGAGACCAATCGTTGCTATGGACACCATTGCCTCAAACGCCACTATGCTTCCAAGAGACTGCCAATACATTCACAATTCAGTTAGAGTTATGGCTAAACATATTTTTACACTTTTTAATAAACAACTAAATTTGCAGCTTATAATAATAATAATAATAAAATACACATACCGTTAGTGCCATGCAAAATGATATAAAAACGGAAAGCCAAACAGCATATATGGGGACTTCTTGCTTGTTAACTTTGTGCCACAATGATGACAATGGCATGGCCCCATCTCTAGAGAAAGCATAAGCCATCCTGAACAAATTTTAAACATCATACTTTATTCTCAAGTAACTTGAGAAATTAAATCCCTATCAAATGGAAAATACACAAACTTAGGCATGTTTTTACCTTGAATTGCTGGTAACTGAACTCATACCACAGAAAAAGATGGCAACAGCAACAATTAGTAAGCAAATAATACCCCCGGTTCCATTGCCATATCTTTTCTTGAATACCTGATAAAATACTTCAGCAATGGCATACCCACCAGCATCATTATCTTCACTCAAAAGGTAAAGGATGTCAGTGACTGCAAAGGTAATGCCTAGTATGTAACCCCATCCAACAACAATTGATATCCCAACAGCACTGATAATTCCTTTTGGTCCATTTCTATCAGCGTCCTTCGTTTCCTCTGTCTACATATACACGGTACAGCAAACAGAAAGTCTTAGTCTAGAATCTATATCATTTTGTAACTTCAATCCATCTATGGAAGTGAAGAGCTCCAAGTTTTCAAAATTGGAATGAGTAGAAAAGGAAGAATATGAGTAGAAAAGGTTCACCATATGAGCTGATGCATCAAACCCAGTTAGGGTATACTGACTCATTAGAAGTCCCAAGAGAAATATGTAGGGTTTGCTGCTGATTCCATCCCCATTTTCAGTATTGAAATGAGTGAAAACAAACTTGGCACTGGCCCTTTCCGTTGCAACAGAAGGAATGACAATAATAAGCACAAAAACACCTAAAAATTTGCATTTCCAATTAGGGATTCAGATAGAGGTTTCCAAGGAGAGCTGAATGCAGAAAACAATCAAACAGGAGATTTCTTCATACCTAAAACATTCCAAATAGCTGCCAACTGTCCTAAGAATGATAGCAATGAGATAGGTAGGCTGTTGATTATACCATGTAAGAACAAAATTCCTCCATGGAAAGCAATAACTACATATTTAGATGCCTCATATCCACCACCATTTTTCCCACCAGTACTAAGGAGAATGATAACCTGAATCAGTTGTGCAAGAGAAAAATCTACACTTGTTGTCACTGCCCACTGCAAATGAAAAGAAACCAAAAATTGAAGCTTCAAATGAATTCATGGAAATCTCCATCCCACACAAGTTTAGAACTTGTAGTGAAAAGCGAAGGATGTTTAAATTCTAAAATAGGTGTCATTTTAAGAATACCTGGCCAACAATATTGAACCTGTAAAAACAGATAAACCACCCAACACGCATCAGATAAATAACTGTGGGAAACCAAATATTGCAGAGTATCTTGCTATTAGACTTCACAGGTTGATTAAGCAATAAACTGTGTTTTCAAACTATATGGTATTAAGGAGAGCTACAAAATTAGGCATGTGTAGTCAATTGTATGCCGGTTAAATTTTCAAAAACTTGGTTGAACATTTTACATCATAAAATTGAAAAGTTAACAAATTATGCATCATATCATCAATTATAACTCTCAGTTTTGCCAGTGAATTTAACATGAGTTCCATGTTGTTAATTATGATTAAATCTATGAAATATAGCCTAAACTGTCGTTCAAAATGTTCTGTGCATGTTTCTGGTTGATGTGGCTTTTTGATTCACCAGTTATACAGATATATAAATGCAACTCGAATATCTTTAATGGAAAATCTTGAGACAATGAAAAATTAGAAGGAAAAAGGAATTTGTGACTTTCTACGATAGATTTAACTATCAATAATATCAATTATTAGTGAGTAGAATGACATGTCTGCTGCACACAATAGTAGTGCATAATACAATCCTCAAAAGTAAGTCACTTCTCTGGTCAGAATGATTAAATGATGATTCTTCTTGTGCCTAACTTAAGGTTAGAAATAACATCCTTCAATTATGCCATAGATAAATATTCTACCAACCTACTTCCGCACCCTCTAACTTTCAATTCGCCCAAAATCTCACCATTAAATTATAAAATATTAATTTGCTGGAAGTTCACAAATTTGAGTTAGTTTATCAGAATGCACAACATGCTCATCAGTTTCTCTAAGATCACCGACCAAGGTGAGAATGGGACTTCAAAAATTTAAATGCAATGAGGCCCACATAAGATCCTCATATAAACTACAAAGTTGCATGGTGGTCCGTGGTCGTTAATAATGGTTGCTAGCCACGCAAATCAAGACATGGTCAACACGTTATTAAAAAATTGCCAGTAAAACATTTGATAGTACCTCCTCCATGTGGAAAGTCTGGCATTTATAGCCACTTTACATATCTTGAATTATGCACAAGAAAATTTTAGATGCAAGTATTAACAAAGAACCATAGCGTGACAGTGATGACTGATATGGTTTAAAATAAAAAGTAGACAAGTATAAATTATAACATACCAGATAATCTTATTAAATTATTTTTTATGTTTCCATAAATAAATGTATTTTTAAATCAATACTTTTTAAGTATTAAATTAAAATAATTATATAATTTTATCTCTAGAAAAGACAACTCGTTTTATATTATTATAGTCTCAAAAACTCTGTCTATACAAAATTACAAATTCGCCCTCGAAAGAATAAATTTGGTATATATTAATTAACTTTAGTAGGGTGAACAAATTTTCAAATTAATAATTTAAGGGGCGAATTTGTAGTGATAAAATCTTTTAAAGATTAAAGCAAAAAATAATAACATTTTTCGAGCA